CTGGGGGATGGAGCATAAACTCACGAAAGGAACCGCTTCTTTAAAAGGGGTAATGGCCTCATCAGAGTTAGGGATTCTGAGTGATTCTGTTCTCAGGACGCTTCCCAGAATCCAGTGCACAACTTTGTTGGGCCTCAGCTTTCTCAACTCTAAAATGAACGTGTTGATCACTTTGCGGAAGGCTCTCTTCCAACATTCTCTGTCTGACTCATTTGAAGCCTTCAAAACATGTTTAATAACTTGTATTTTTCCCTCAGTCAAAATGCAGTCCATATTTTTGGCAAAACTTGTAGAGCAAAGTCCCTTGAGGTGTGGTCTGAGGATCAGTTGCTGGTTTCAGACTCTGCGCCAGGGCCAGGCTTGTGATAGACTCCGAAACTACGAGTAGGTGTCAGAAACTTCAGGGCAGTTGGATGGGCCACAGCCCCAGGTGGGATTTCCTCTCTCTTGTAATTCATTTCCCTTGGGCTTTATGGGCCAGACTCCCAGACTGGGTCCCTGAAGAATGAAGAGGGAGAGGGCAGAGAAGCAAAACAAAGCCAAGGCTTTTATAAAGAGCAGATTGAGAAGCACTTGTTTATAAAGAAGAAAAGAAACATTTTAATTACCTCTGAGCTCACTTTTCCACATAAACCACTGTTGTGACAGAAAAGAGGGGCCCAGAGTCGGAGGGGAACTATTTGCTTTTTCTGTATTCAAATTTGACTTTGGAATTGTGTGTTTTTAACTACATGCCCTTTCAAACACTATCGTAAGGGTCTCTGTGGATAAAGATAAGCAGTTTTCAACTGAGCATTTTCCCCCAAAGCGCTGGGAACATCTCAGCCTGCAGATCCCAGAAGCCCTGGAGAGAAAGCAGGGGTGCATGGACCTCCACCCCCAACAGGTTGCCGGTCAGCTGCTCTGCTCAGCTCCCCAGTACTGTGTGGGTTTGGGTGCCTGCGGTCTAACTCTGGGAGGACCATGCCCACCTACCTTGCTGGCAGGGTCCTCCTGGTTTCCTCTCCAAGGCACAGACTCCATCTGATACAGGTGCCTCCACCTGCTGCTGAGCCAAATGAGAGTCCATGGGGCTCTGATGGATTCTTGGAAGAACCATGAAAGTTAGGAAGTGGCTCGCAGTTGGGAGTGGCTGCTGGTGTATGGCCCATGGTCATCCTCCAAGTCTGGATGATGACCGTAAGAGTGGGAGTGTCTTAATGGCCCAGGAGAGCAAAAATAAATACATACGTAGCCGTGCTGCCCTGTGGTTGGCCTTTTCTCATTATCCCAACCAAATGTCAAAGCTGGGACTCAGTTGTGACTGAGAGGCTAATGGACAATCTGCCCAACATTGACTCAGCTTGGACATGTTAAAAACAAGAGAAAGGGTTGACATCTGGATCGATTCCAGGTCATGGCAACTTGTGTTTACGAAGTAGAATCTCTTTATGGGGCATTGAAGACTGTGACCCGTCAGAAGCAGATCCCCTGGCCTGTATTTCAGGCACCTCGGAGTGGGTTCAGACCATTAATGTTTTGGTTAGTTGTTGAGCGCTTAATCATTTGCACACACCCCCTCCCAAGGACTCCTCTCTGCACACTGCAAAATAGGAATCCAGCTGTGGCAGGTGTTGAGTATGAAGGGCTCACACCAATACCTTTTTCACCTTGTCTGATGAGAGCCGTCTAGCCTGGAGATTTACAGAGTGTGGCAGCCTACCGGTGGCCAATGATAGATTAACCATCCAGCCCCTTTGCCTCTGGGTGGATTGCTTTGCGGTACAGTTTGCACTGAGGGCCTCGTACTCCAAATTCTGCTCCTAGTAAAGACAGCAGTCAAGGAAGTATTTTTTTATTTCTCAGCTAACTATACTTGACCTCAGAGGGGGCCTTTAGGTGGTCCCTTCTTGAGAAGCTTTTAAAGTACTAAACCACCACTTAATGCATGTTTAGAACACAGGAAAGAAATTTAAATATATATTACAAACGGGAATGGAAATGCTGGGAATCTGAATCAAGCCCAGGTACCTAGCTCATTGGTGATTGATTGATTGATTGATTTGTGTAGGTGTGTATGTATGTTCATGGCTGACCTTTCTTGAGAACAGAGCAGGCACAACCAGAATGCTTCCTGGCCTAGCAAGATGGGGAGACCACCTTGTACTGTGCAGGTTATCAGGAGGGGCCATGCCCTAGAAAAGCACAACGTGGCTTGATAAAGGTTCAGCAAAGAGGAAGCTGGCCCTCAAGGATATGGGTTGACCATAGTGGTCGTAATGATGGCCTCAAATGTCACACGGATTGTGAGGCTGACACACGGGACTGGCCAGTGTTTGCTCGGTTGTCCAGAGGGGTGCTGGGAGTCGGCACTGATTGGATGGCACCTCAGCCAGCACACAAACAGGTATAAAGCAGGCATGACTGAGAGGATCCTTGGCTGACATCCTGTCAAACTGAAATCGTCAGTGATTATGCCTTCATATTAAAGTAGTGTTTTAGATGAGTTGTGGAGGTGGGACTTTGAAATGTATAGCATATTGTAAATTGACCTTTCTTCAACTCTTGGAAAATTTCATATTAAAAATTAGTATGTATGCATATTACCCTTTCCAAACTAACTCATATACTTTTGCATTTTTGATGATAGGTTTTTGCGATTTCCCCTTCTTTGCTCTTCTCCCTCATTTTGAACATCTTGTTCCTACTGCTCTCTTTTGGGTTCATAATAAGGCCTCGGTGAGGAGAATCTAACTGGCATCAACCAAATCTGTTGTTGCTGCTAAAAGATTGTATAGGGCACATCGTTTAAGGGATGCTTTATATTATGTCATACGAATATCTTCTTTTATGCATACCTCAAGGCATGGCACAATTTTCTGATAAAAATAGATTATAAGATCTACTTTGGAGGTGAAAATGGAAGTCATTCAGTTTTGTTTTTTGTTTTTAATAGAAGAAAAAATGTAGGTCAGAGTGCACTAGCCCTATGAACCAGCTGGGAGTTCCAGTTTTCTGATTTCCCCTGAATTCAACCCTATTCTTATTATTCGAATGCTTACGTGTAAGGAATAGTTTTCGACATTGATCAAAGATTTTAAAAAATAAAACTCAGCCTCGGCCTTGGGCTTATAGGAATATACAGTATGGCGAAAGACAGGAAAGTGGAAAAAAGAAACATATCATGTAAATATTATGCAAATCAAAGTTAGGCTTTTGCCCTCAGCGAATGGGTTAAAAGGCAAACGTGAACACAGAGAAGGAGAGTGTGTCTCGGGGAATGGGAATCCTTCATCCCCAAATTTCCTGAATTTAAAACTGTAAATAAAAACTCACGGAAGCCCTTCTATTTTAGCAGGACAAAAGAAGATACATGATGCAAATAGGGAACTAGAGGGACACACACACACACACACACAGATAAGCCATCTCTTTTCAGGATGTCATTTCACTTTGAAAGCTTCTTCAATTTTTAGTCTGTGAAGGGCAGGCTAATGGAAGTTTAACTTATTAAACCAGATTATTTTAAAACAAATGATCAAAGATCCTGTATTGACGTCAACCTCGTGACCCCTCTATGCTTTGGTACAGGAGAGTGTTCTGTCCTTTAAACTCTCCTACACTGCATAGACCCATGTACTGTCCACCCACTCCCATTAGTGTGCTGCTGTATTTTACTTTTTTACAGCTTTATGGAGATACATTTCTCATATCATACATTTCACTACCCCAGACTATTGATCCATAGCTTGGAGGAAGTTGGAGGACATTTCTTGGTGATCTGCCCTCCGAGTGGAGAACTGATGTGTTAGACAGGGTTCGCTAGAGAAACAAAACCAGGACTCTTATGATTTTATAGATAGATAGATAGATAGATAGATACAACATAAGAAATAAATAGCTAATTAGTCCATAGAGCAGTACAAATGACTCAGTTCAACTCACTTCTGCGAGACATTTAATACACTGGCAGTCCTTCAACTCACAGGGGCTGCTGGGTTCAAGTCAAGGAAGGAGACAGCTGAGTCTGCTATAGAGCTATATAGGCAGTCTGGCCACAAGCAGCAAACATCAGAGCAGGTCACCCATAGTCAGCCAGATGACAGGCTCTGCCAGTGCCCAGCTCAAGTGATGTATATACCAGCAGTGTGACGAAGCAGGTCTTGAAAGAACCTCAAACTATAGCAGCACAGTCCACCGGTTCGGTGTCCCACAGGTAGTTTAGCTCACAAGTTGAGGCAGAGTACTAGCCAAGGTAGCCACACACTGGTCTGATCATCAGCGAGTAAGAGGAAGGCGAGGCTCTCTTTACCTCTTTGCCCTTCAATTAAACCACAACCTTATTAACGCCATATGTTTACTGGCCAGATTGGTACAATAATCCTACCTATCACACTTGAAGCCCTAGTGAAGGATGATATTGTCATCTCCATGACTTCCTTTATAGCACATATCATGTAAGACAAATGATCTTTTAAGATTTTGCTTATTAGTGTTATAATCATCTACCTTCTCACCAAAATAGTGTTTCTCAACATGTTTTCCTTCTTATCTCCCAGTGACCCCTGTAGGCACTTTCCCTCTAATCATTGACCTCTCCCAGATGTGAATCTCTCCTGTTGAGTCTGTTTCTGTTGTGAGGCCCTTTACAGGGCCGCAGATCATTCGGATAGCTGTGTTCGCTTGTTTTTCTTCATTTGTTGTGCAAACCCATTTTTGTCCCATGGGGATAGCACCCCTCTTGAAAACGCACGCATTGAAATATAAGCTGGTGACCCGGGCCATCTTTTTCTGTCCTTTGTGCTCACCTGTTGGCACTCGTCTCCTCCCTCGAATCCTCCCACCCTGCTCCTGCCGTCTCCTGTTGCTGAGTGCCTTTACAATTGGGCTTGAGTCATCCTGGATTTATTTGGAGCCTCAGTGCTGCCGGCTGCCCCCACCTGCATTTATTTCCCCATGCTCATTCCCACCAGCGGCACCCTCCGTTCTTACTGCCCCTCGTTTTTATGCTTCCTCAACAGAAGTGAAAGATTACGAGCCCCCCTTTGGCTCCAAGGTGCGGGAACACCCCTGTGTGGAGAGCATGAAGGACAATGTGTTACGAGACCGAGGGCGACCAGAAATCCCCAGCTCCTGGCTCAGCCACCAGGTAAGAGGTGGCCCTTTTGCCTGGAGAATTAGATTCCTTGGAAGCCACCTCCTAGGTTGGAGGTCAAGATTGTGGGCCAGGGCATTAACGCTGCTGGCAGGCCCCTGTGTGTTTTGGGACCCTATTAAATTGTGCTTGTAAAGAAAGTGTTCCTCAACTAGCAGGGCCCTGTTACCGTAATTTCCAACATAGGTGTGCACATTATTCAGGGAAGGTGTATCGGAAATCCTGTGAAAGGCATTTGTTCCATCCTCCAGGCTGCCATTGTTGTCGGCAGCCTCTACCTCTCACTTTATGCCTTTACATAGGGACTGTTTGTTTCATCCCAGTCTGGATTACAAATCCCTTATTCTGGGAAACTCCAGCTCCAGAAGGAAATATGTAGCTGCCTGGGTAGTCAGCAGGGCTTATGAGGCCATGGGGCTTTGGCAAGCATACACCCATGGAGGAGGCAGGCCTTGTGTGCAGACAGGGAGAAGCCTGTGCGTGTGCCTGTGGGAGAGCGGAGGAAGCCCACTGCTCGGGAATGCACGTGAACATGTAGGAAGCCTGTCCACAGAGACCAACTCCTGCTGCCCACGGAGTCCCGCTGAGATCAGCTCCTTCTCAGTGCGTTAGACTGACGGTGACTAATGCTGAACAGAAAGAAATGTTACCTGGACCTGGGCGGGCATTCCGAATTGGGCATGCGCTCATCCATTTGTGTGGCCACTGTGCATCTTCACAATGTCAGACACTCATCTGTTAGACTCCGTGGGGTTTCCATTAGCTCACTTGGGCTGTAGATCACCAGCCCGAGCTAACGAGCCCAGTCTTCCTGGAAATCCTGCTGAATCCTCTCCACTGTGCTGACCCTGCTGGTGTTTGAAATACTGGTGGCATAACTCGCTGGCAGCATGGCAAAACGCAAGCTACCACAAAACGACAGACTGGCAAAAGGAGAGTGGGTGCATATCCTAATGGCTTGGAGATGGTGGCTAAGGTGGCCCTAGGAGGACAGGGGTTCTGGACTTACAAGGCAGCCTACAAAATTCTTCGTTTGAGGAACATTTTGTGATGAGTCTGAGGGTTGGAGGAAAAGGAGAAAGTAAGAGTCCGCCTGCCAGAGAACACGAGAGATCCCTGAACATCTGTCACTCCCAGGAGAGAGCCATCAATGACGAATGAGACAGAAGTGGACCTCTTGTTCCTCGACGAAAGCTTGTAGTGCTTCTCTTGGATGCGTTTCCTCATCCAGAGAGCGCTAGGGCTAAGTCCTGGGTTTTCCTAAAGACAGGGCAACTTCAGATAAGAAGTAGACCAGGCACCACAGGGAAGACCGATGGAGCGGGAAGCCTGGGTCTTGGTGAGTGCTGGCTGGGAGCCACCACAGTGGACAGACCCCAATGAGTAGTGAAGAGGGAACCAGGCTGTGGGAGTCGGGCTTCCCAAGGGTGCCAGACACAACCCCTTTGACTTAGAAAACACACAGCTGGATCTGCACGAGCCCAAACCAGACGCTGCTCACATTATGCTTCTTTGAGACTCTGTTTCCTCCTCTGCTGTACCACTCCTGTAATGAAGCCATTATTCATGATGATAAAATTCTGGAATGAATTTACATAATACATTTTTTCTCTTAATGAGATTTGTTGCCCTATTGATTTCAAGTTAATGCTTAATATTTAATTTAATTTACTGCCTGTAATTACAGTGCCAGAATAAAATAAATGTTACTTGTGTATCAACAATAACACTCCACTCTTAACAGGGCCATCCATCAATATCGTCAATTAGGTGAATTATACAATTAATTCAATGTCATGAACTCGGGGTAAGATGAGAGAAAGAGAGGATTAGGTGTGTCGGGGCATTTATTGGCATGAGCAGATGAACAGGGGAAGTAGCACCTTTGGGGAATGGTGTGGGATTTATCTGCCCATTGTGAGGGCCACCCATGAGGAAGGATCACTTGTGGGTCCTCTAGTTGGCAGGCGCATCCTCTCTTTCTTCCAGGTGGTCTCTTTATTTAGTACCTGACCACTCAAAAAGGGCTTGACATGGCTAACAAAAAATATTTACAAGGCATAATAAAAATGAAGGCAACAGGAGAAGAATGCCGCCCCTTTCTTGAGCAGCAGTTCCCCAGAGGGGCTCTTTGACCAGGGCCTTTAGGGAAACCCCATGTGGTCCAGTCGAACTGCTTCAAGGGGCTTTCCTGGCCATCATCTATGCTCATGCAGATCACCCGAACTTTCTTCTGCGGCAGCACTGGGTGGGTTAGAAGCCGATTGCAAATGATGCCCTGATAGACAGCCATCCCTATGAAGCCTATAATATTACCTAGAGCGAAGCACTTCTAGCCTACAAAAACAACTGCTTCACATAGCCCATTCTAATATTGGAGAGTACCGGGGGACAGCCAGGTCCTCTGGGGCAGCCATGGTAAGCTTCTACTGAATCACTCCACAGAACGTGTATGGACTTGGCCAACTGAAACCAGATCAGTGCCCATACATCAGCGTGACAGGGGTGGGGATTACCCAGCCCTATTAAAATAGAAAGGTGTACAGATAGTGCTGGGGGTCTCCTCATGCTGACTTTTCAGGGATTGGGATGTCTCTGTGCCCAGGAGCTGAGGGAAGTGTTCTTTATACCGTGTTACTTGTTAAGACCTCTGGTGACCAGATGGCACAAGAGCACATGGGCACAGAGGGCCTCTGGGGCAGCCACTAGCTGCATAGTCCCCCTTTCCACCAAGGAGAGGCTGCCCAGCCTAGTGGTTATTCAAACAGACTTGTCGATACACAGCTTCATTCACACTCAACCTGCCCTGCAGGAACAAGGTCTGACAGGCCACCACAGCCTCCCTGGAGGCCACCAACTCATGCTGTCCTCTGGACTTCTTTCGCCCTGCAGGGCATCCAGATGGTGTGCGAAACGCTGACCGAGTGCTGGGACCATGACCCCGAGGCCCGTCTCACCGCCCAGTGCGTGGCAGAGCGCTTCAGTGAGCTGGAGCAGCTGGACAGGCTCTCGGGGAGGAGCTGCTCCGAGGAGAAGATTCCCGAAGACGGCTCACTGAACACTACCAAGTAGTTCTCTTCGGGGCAGGCTGGACCAAGTCCGGAGAGGCCACACCGCCTTGCACCAAAGAACAGAGGCAGCAAGAAGCTGCCCCTGGAATGATGCCTCCTGGGAAACCCAGGGGTCACCCAGAGCTGCGAGCATGTGTAGAAACGACCGCAGCAGGAAGTGGGTGACCTAAAACGTTCTATGCCTTTGACATTGTCATAAGCTGTGTTAGCACTGCCTCAGGAAGTGAGATTGGTTTTTACATTAGCTAATAACATTTGCACTTTATTAATGCCTGTATATAAATATGGAATAGCTATGTTCTATACCGATATATATATGTTTATATCTATATATACAGCCATACTCTGAAAGGAGACAAAGGATAAAAAGATGAACTATGCCCAGGAAATTGGTTTCATTGGGGAACTCTGAAACCGAGCGGAGAGGAGGCAGTTCATGAGAGCATTAGCACTTGACAATCACCGATGCAATGGGTGGTCCCCTGGTGATGCGAGCAGGGGCCTGTACCACACCAAGGAGAGTGGCTCCTTGACTCAGAGTCAATGATTGCTATCTTGCACTTGCTTTTGCAAAGTCATAATCCCCTGAACGTAGGTTCCTTTCTGGCCATCCCCTAGAGGGAGAGACGGATGCAGTCAGCAGTACAGTTCTTGGGGCTCCTGTGTGGGGTGGTTGCACTTGAACTTCACAGCTGGGGTGTAGCCAGAGTAGCTCAGCAACTCTGCCACATCTCTTAAAAGAGTTGAAAACGTTTCGAGGCCCACATTTTGCCTCCACCAGCCATAGACAACTCAGGATACAAGTTTCCCCAGGTCACAGAATTAGAAAGCTGTCTTCTATGTACCATCCTGTCTACTAATAAGAAATGGTCCTTTTTCCCATTTGCCTCAGTCCCTAAAGTACATCACATTTAAGGCTTCAGCATGCCTGCGGTTCACACCTAGCTTTCTGTGTGAACAGTCGTGGGTGCCCTCTTTCCTGGGCACTCATTAGAGGGTAACAGCGTGACACCGTACTGCCACATGGAGGACTGTTTCTCTCTGAACATATGTTTTGTTTGGCCCATATAACACTTAAAAAAAATTGAGCCATTATCCAGTACTTACATATTTGGAGGATTTACTTAAAAGGAATCCTGGGTGAGGAAGGCGGGCAGGTGGTTTCCAGTTCTTCCCATCTCTGTCTTTCACAAAGTGAGGGTATGTGCACACGTTAACCAAACAGCCTCCCTGCTTGCTTGTAAGCATCTGCCACTGACGCCCCAGTTTGGGAATGAACCTGACCTTAACTGAGGTTCCTTCTAAGAACTGTGCATAAGATGATATTGATGGCCCCCCTCGGACCTGACCTGAGTGTAAGACTTGAAGTTTACCTTTTGGTAGACTAAAGGGGACCCCCCTTGATGTGGTCCTCTGTGAAAGGAGACCCCAACCCTCTCTGTTTTTATGTTCAGGCTTGTTTAGTTGCTCTTTACCCCAAGCAGTTTTGTGGGGGTTTCCAGACTCCCCACGACTCCGCCCCGCCCAGCCCTTGCAGAATCTGCTCTCCAGGCCTGGGCTGTGGGAGACAAGAGCCCCAGTTGTAGTTAGGGCATTGTCCGCATGGACAAGAATGAGCTTTAATACTCCATAGGAAACTTGTTATGCTACAAAAGAGTGTTACTGTTGCCAATACTAGTCTCTTTTTAAAAAAGGTTTTTGAAGCTACGTATTTTCAGCCAAATAGGAATAGGAGCAAGGGACCAGCAGAGTAAATCAGTACAAGGATTTGGGTTTGAGGAAGGGTCTCCTCTCATTGAGGCTTTCGGGGACCTCCCGGAATTTGGCACGAGAGGTGACTTCTAGGCACCTTGTTCAGTGGGGGTGCGCTGAGAAAGGTCAAGGCAGTTTGACTGCAACATCATGGAATAGCAGAAAAATCCACATGCACCTTAGGGCCTGCTGAGGCTGTCTCAGTAGCTGTTGCTCAGTGACCTCTAGTGGTGGATTTCTAGAATACTGGTCCTTTGATGGGCTTTTCCAAGATCCGAAAGAGCTTTATCACGTCTGTGTCATTGTCAGCATAAACTGGAATGTTGTATCAGATGATACTGTGGCCTGTTTTGTTTATATACATTTTCTTTATTCAAGGTAAAAGACCAAGGAAGAACATTCTGTAGTTCCTAAAAATACTGATTTTTTAAAAAAAAACTACTACATATAAAGGGAACGTTCTATTCTTTTAGGAAACACATCGTGTATTAAAATAGGAATGTGAATGCTATATACTTTTTATATCAAATGTCTCAAGCACATATTTTCATGCTATGCAGTTTGTCTTTTATATATAAAGAAGTGTTTATTAGATCAAATAAAGCAAAAATACTCAGGTCAGCTTCCTGTCTCCTGTTCTTGTTCTTGGTAGCTGAACTCATTTGCCTCATTTATTTTGCAGTTCATGCAGAAAAAATATCACAAGATCCTCCCAGAATCCTCAACATTTATTTTTCAACTGACAGTCTCAAATCTCTTAAAACAAAAGGTCTTACAGAAGTGGGTGACATGAGATGACATAGACGTGGTAGGTGGCCTACCCTTGATCCCCAAATCTTGGAATGGCATCTCTGCAAGACCGTACAACCACTCTCTGCTATCAGCCCTCCTCTCCCCATGGTCATGGGAGCTGCCTCCACCCCTGTGTTTGCTGCTTTCGGGAATTGTCACAGCCAAGGCTGCTGCTGCTGCTGCTGGAAGTGTGTCATTGATATTTTCAGTTGTCAGGTCAGCCTCTGACTCCGTACACAATGGACCAAAATGCTGGCTGAATCCCCGAACTCATCAGTTGCAGACAGAGGAAGGATCTCAAAGCCTGCCTTCCTGGTCCATCTTGATCTGAACGCAGTCGTGAGCGCCACAAGTTTGAATGCAAGCAGCAAGACCCTGGAGCACCTGCCCCTATCCTAAATACAAGTGAAGGTGGGGTCAAAGGGTGAGGCAGAAACGCTGGAGGGTCTGACTTGCTCGCCCTGTGACATGGAGAGGAAGATGGAGTTGGCCCCGGAGAAAAGGGGTCCAGACTTTGTTTGCCTGGAGTTATTTCACTTCCTGCTCTTGCATGGTCTTGGGGGTTCCCGTAGGCAAGAAGTCTTCCATTGCCCTCTGCGAGTACTTGGTGCCTGCAGCAGTCAGCACATTCACGCAGCCTCTGGGTTCCCTGGGCATTTCTGGGTGTTGGCTATTTTTGTTTTAAAATCCCCACGCAAATGACATGCCAATAGTCCCATCCAGAGGGCATTCCCTCCCCCCAGGGGACAGACTCCGTGGGGACTTTTCATTTAAGCAAGCGTGTCCCTCCTTTATCAGGAAAGGCCCCGCAGTGGGCATGTGCTTATTTTGTTGGATTTCCTCCTGAAACGGGATGCCTAATCGCTGTTAATCACATTTTCAATTACTGTTTTTATTTTTATTTTTTTTAACTTGAGACTAATTATAGCTCCCCACTCAATGGGTTTGGGAGCATGGCTTTCAGGCCAACTTTGCAAACTGCTGATGAAGACAGGATTGTGCACTTGCCCATATTACACGGCCTGACAGCCTCACTCAGTCTAATTTAATTCTATGGCACCTCCTGATCCTCAGTGCATTTTAAAAGAACTTGTTAATCGTCTTCCTATTCTAATTAAGCTAAAATCACACACATTGAAAGACGTGCTCCCTTTTTCTCCATACCTACACACACAAAAACACACACATTGTTGATCCTTAGAACACAAGTCTGTGCGCAATCCTATGCAGCCTAGTACTTCTGATGTCTCAGAGTCTTCCCCCATTTCTGTGCACGGTGGTACACAGCAGCGCAACTAGCCTTGGCATCCTAGGGGCAGCAAATGGATGACATTTCTTTGAAATCTGATGTTTGTTTAAATATTCATAGCAAAGTGAAGAAAAGAATGGGGCCATTGGAGCCAAATCCTCTTGGTTGAAACCCCAGTGGTTCCATTAATGAGCACTGTGAACGTGAGCAATCATACCTGAGGCTCCTTGGTTTCTTAACATACAAAACGAGGCTCTTAGTAGAACCTGCCAGTGAGGGTGGTTAGGAGAATTAGAGAAGTCAACATTTTCAAAGTGGTGTGCATAAGCATTTGTTATTCTCATGAATAAACATGTCGAATTCTACTTAAAATGACGCTGTCCCGTTGTAGTATATTTGCAATGTAAGGTAAAACTGCCTCTTGAAGCAAATGAGTCCTGGGCATCATCTTCTGTGAGCCAAAGATGAACCGCGCTGCCATCCAGTCATGCTGATGCAGAGAGACCCCAGAGCACAGGGCGAACTGGCCCTGTGGGTTTCTTAGACCAAATCTTTACAGGAATAGAATACCTCATCTTTATTCCATGGAGGAGTTGGTGGTTTCGAACAGCTGACCTTGTGGTAGCAGCCCAACCCATCAGCTGCTACACCACCGGACCACGCTGTTTCCTTCCCAGGGCCGCTGTACCCACTATGATTGGCTTGACTGTGGTGAAAAATCCTGGACCTCCCTATGAGCTAGGAGATCTTGGGTTTAGTACAGCTCCACCACCCCATTCTTCCATGACTTTGGCTTATTGCTTTTTTTTTCCTTTTTTTTATTGCCTCGTCTGAGCAATCTTCCCTATCCTGACTGGAGAAAAATCAAAAGAGATCATAAATGAACAAAACAACAACCATGAAAGAATAAATATTATCAATGCAAAACAAAATTTATTCGCTTTTTCAAACGCTAAAAATATTTCTTGGAATATTACATTTTTGCTCATTACTAAAACTGGTTCCCCACAGTGAGTACCCAGAATAGAGCGGAGCGTATAACAAAAAAAAAAAAAAGTTCAGCAAACGTGTGTTGAAGGAAGACATGAAGGAGCTTGTCTTTTAGTTCACAGTACAGCGAGGAGACCCAACACATGTGATTGAGATGTCTTCATCAGTAAATCCTCCTGGAGGAAAACCACCTGAGGCTAAAACTCTGTGCCTTTGTTTTGTATTGTTTGTGCTTTGTGGAAAAACTAGTGTGAACCTCACTGCTGTCTGCCACCTGCCTTTGTCAACACAATGCTCTAGCTGCCAGCATAACTCCTGAGAGGATGAACTTGCTGCCCCATTTTCCTCCCTGCTCTCCACTGAGCATTTTGTCTAGCTCCCCGAGGAAGCCATAACAAAGTACCACAGACGGGATGGCTCAAAACAAATGTATTCTTTCCCAATTCTGGAGTCCAGAAATCACAGTGTTAAAAAAGACTCCCCAAATGCTTTGGTAACTGGCTTCCTTTAGGGTGCACATACCGAGAAACTGGGTGGACATATATAACTTGGTTGGTTGTGGAAGTCATAAAGCATCCTTTCTCCCACATTGAATCAAGTCGCATAAGTTCAAAGCAAAGGGGACATCAAAGACCTCATCTCTCAATGGGAGAAGTGACAAGCCAATTGGAAGCAATATTACATTTAAAACTGCCAATGGTACATTTTATATGTAAATCTCAGTTTTCTCATCTGTAAAGTGGGCTGCGTTAACTCTAAAATTCTCTAGTGCTGGAAGTCGATGGATCACTTTAATTACCTTACTTGTGCACATACCATTTTCTTTCTTTTATAACTGTATCATAAACAATAACAGGTTCAATTTTCATTAAGCCAGAAAGACAGTCTGCCAGTAAATGTTAATATTTCATGTACCAGTAAACTTTAATAGTCTACAAACCAGCATTGTCACGGAGTCTCTCCCAAGTAATTGCAACCCTACAAGACAGAGTAGGGTTGCCGAGATTGAAAATCTCCATGAACAGAGAGCCTCGTCTTTCTCCTGAGGAGCAGTGGGTGGTTGGGAACCTTGCCCTTTGGATCAGCAACCCAATATTTAACTTACTGTGCCATCAGAACTCTTCTCACTAGAGTGGTTATTAACCACTTTGAAAACCCAGGCATCCCAAGAAGTATTACAAATTGTATTACTCAAAATATCTGTTAGATTCCTTGGGTGGGAAAGACCTGGTTTATGATCCACGTGGGTTTTATAAAGGATGGAAGATGTTTCAGGAGTTACAGTCGCTGAACACAGGCGCCCTCATGGCACTGCACACGCACGTGACAACCTGAGGGGGGCGTGGCGGGGAGGAAGAGAGAGAGTGACCACCTGGCCTAGATTGGGCCCACCCAGGTGTACTGGCTCAGGGGCCTGAATTGGCGCATGCCCTTTAGCCTGCATTGGCTTCCAACCTCCTGCAGGAGCCCCTAGGCAAGGAGAGGAACAACCCCCTACCCGGCTACCTATCCTATCTACTTAATTTTGAGTAGGATTCCTGGACCTGCTGGACTGGTAACAAGGTAAGGACCATCACTCTATCATAGGCTTCTCAATGCTGATGTTTTGCCGAAGCCGATTTACCAGGTCTGTCTTCCAGGGTGCCTCTGCGAGGACACGAAACTCCAGCCTTTTCATTAGCAACTACGTGAGCTGTTGATACCATATCGAAACTTTGCCTTGTGAAGTTCTTTGACTTTTTTTTTTTCCTGGAGAGAGAGAGAGACATGTCTAGACAGGATCCCCAGCACCCGACTCTCCAAAGAGCACCCCACACTCAAATCCCCAAGCCCTTGGAATTCCTTTCCACGTCTCTGTGATCCAGGCTCAGTTCGTTCTCTTTCCTCGGCAGATTGTGATAGTTTATCAACTCAGATCCTGCGTCATTAGTAACCAGAGAAGTGTTGGACCTAATCTTCAAATCTTGCCTAGAGAAGGAAATATTTGCATTTCATCTTTCTAGTGCTTCCAAGAAAGGTAAGGAAATGATTATTTTTCCATATTATGAGTGAATGTTCATATCTTGTCTCAAGAGAATGCATGAGGCTTATTCATATGCATTGCTTATCCGTGGTCTAATAAAGGGAATCACACTTCCATCTGATAATTTACTGGAGTCTGTGTTCAACTGCTGCCCAAATCTCTTGGGTCTGATGGGAGACCAGAATCTTCTACGCCTGACAACACTGAAGATATTTCAAAGAGAGAGAGAAAACAAATGGTAGTTTGTGCTAATTGTTGGGTTGATGTAATACAAGTTCCCAATCCCTTATCTGCTATTTCAAGATTCAAATGCCCTGACTCATTTGGCTTTGGGAGAAAGGCTGGGCTGTCTGCGTCACAACCAGTTAGTTTGGAGGTGCTCTGAGGCAGCATGGCCTCCGAGACAGTGAGTGAGTGAGACTCCTTTGGCTCCTCCACTTGCTCTGTACCAGGGGTTGAAAAACTGCGCCTCTTGAGCCATATGCAGCTCTTCCAATGCATACGCGTGGCTCTGTAGTAAAACTGAAAAGAAATTAAAGGATATTATTTAAATAAAGGTGATTTCAT